GGGGTATCTCATCCCTCTTCCTATAATAAACTTCTTCATGGCTTTTATTGTGTTGGGGATAAAAAGCTACATCACACGTCGCTAGGTTGATATTAGGCACTAACAATCTAACCTATTTGTAGATATGTTTTATGGGTTTCAATAGTTATTTTACTACGATTTCCATTTTCAATAGATTTTGCAATCTAAATTTTAAATTGTACTCTTGTTGGATATGCAAATCATTTGCATTGACATTGCTTTGTTTTTAATTCCTAGTTTTATATTTTATTTTGATGTAACCAAGCTTATAATGTTGGTGCCTATGAGAGCATGACAAGTTCTCTAGTATTTTAACTACTTTAGTAGGCGTGATTCCCCTCGGAAAGTTGACCTCGATTCAACTCTTGAATTCCTTTGTTTAGTTATTTTTATTATGTATTTCAGCACGGTTAGCTCCCCTATTTTCCTTTTTTGTCATTGTTCAAACCCAATTTTGGAAGATCATTATTTCTATAGCCTCTATTTGGTGTTATTTTATGAAACTCATATCCTTGATCACCTAGCATATGATTTGGATTTGTCTAATTACCATTTATTGTTATTGGCCTATTATGATTTGAAAAACAAGCAAGGCTTGGGATCTAGCCTTGCTTGTTTGTAAATTTCGATGTTGTAACATAGGATTTGTGCTAAGTTGATTGTTTGCATTTTGTCCTATGCAAAATTTGCTAAGTGTTGGTTTCCATATGTAGTTGAGTTGCTACTAATTATGGGTTTATGCTATTCCTTTTTGTAGCAGGAGTCAGGGATGTCTGGATTTCCTTTAGTAGTAGTGCTATAACAATAATTTTTTTCTTTCTCTTTTGGGATTGGAATTTGTTGTCTTTATTAAATTTGAAGATGCTAGAGTTGAATTTTAGTTTTATGTCAAATCTAAGACATTAATAATTTTGGATCCTTTTTTGAGAAATGTTTGGTCTCTTACCCCTCCAAATCTCATAATAGGTTTTTTCAGGAAGTGGTGAGACTAGGCTTGTGATCTTCCTGGATGTGTGCATGCGGGTCTATGACAAAGGGCCTTTCCACCATTGTAAAAGACATCTTGAAAAACATGAATGAGGCATATATTTATAATGAATTACTATATATAATTTCTATTTCCTTTCAAACTCATGCTAATACTATTGGATGTAAAATTGTCAAGTGCGTTGCAAGTATTGATAATAACTTTAGAGAAAAAAAATTGTCTCCTTGTAGTCTTGTACTAGCATCAAAGTAAGTATTCTTCTATCTATAGGAACTATTTGTAAGTATTTAGGTATTATCATCACCTACATTAGCCTCAACCCAACTATTTAGGGATGACTTTATGAATTCTCATTTTTCTTTCGTTCTTATTGAGTGTTTCATGACAGTTTAATACTCTTTGTATAAATCTTGTTCCTCAACTTAAATCCATCTAACTTTTTGTCCCACTTTTCCTTCCTAATCATAGAACATCAGTTTTAGCTACAAATCTTAGCAAGGCTCTTATTATACATGGTAAATCTTAGATTATTTTTTTACAATCTTATTTAAGTATTTTCATTAGATACTATTCTTGTTTATTATTATTTCGGGCATCCTTTTGAACTTTATTGTATGTGACCCCTTTTCAATAGATTCTAAGAAGTTATTAATTTTAGGTCTATTTGATAATAAATAAACTCACAATGCATATATTTTACAATGAATTACTAAATATAATTTCTCTTACTTTTCAACCTTGTATGGATGGTGTTGGATGTGGAATTTTCAAGTGCATTGCAAGTATCGATGATAACTTTTGAGGGGAAGTTTTCTCCTTGTACTGTGTAAGTCCTAGATTTTAAAGAGGTCTTGCATCATGTTAGTTTATAAATAGTTATAAATATTATGACATCAAAGGAGGTTTTCATTCTATCCACAATAACTATTTTTTTATATTCCACTTTTATCATCATTATCATCATTAGCCGCCTCACAAGTTTTAAGGATTAGCTTTATGAATACTTATTCTCTATTCATTCTTGTTGAGTGTTTCTTGACATTTTAAAACACTCTTCGTAAATCTTATTCCTCAACTTCTATCCATCCAACATTTCGTCCTACTTTTATTTTCTGATCACAAGGCATCGGTTTTATCTACATGTTTTAGTAAAGCATCCTCAAAGCAGATTGAACATGGTAAATCACCTAAGCCTATTCTCTTATGACCTTATCTAATTATATTCAATAAATACTATGTTTTTTTATTTTTTTATTTTTTGCTTTCTTGTAAATTTTGCTGTCAGTGACTTGTTTTTAGAACAATACTTGGATCCATACAATATAACCGTTTGAATATATTAAAAAAACCTAAAATATTCTAACTTCCAAGAAACAAATTGTGTTTTTGATGATCGGAAATAAATTTTTTCTCTCTGTTTTATTGATTTTCTAATACAAGAACTGTGTAGACAACCATTTGTAATGTGGTTTGGACAAGGCCAAGAAAGATGAAGAGAAAAGGTAGAAGCTTAGGTGATCAATTGTGGCAAAATCTGTGATCCTGTTACGATCTCCTTCCCTTCCCACCTCTCCAATCATGAGGAATTCACCCAAAAAATAGAGACTCCTTCCTCCAATTCAAGAAAACCTAAACTAAACTTCTCAAATACTCCCAAACATCTATTAACACGTAGGGCCCCTAATTACTAAACTATATCGCATAAGAAAGTAAATAAAAAAGACCTATAAGCAACTTTATTTATGAAAAAGGACCTTTCATAACACAATGTCATTCTCTCCGGGTTTTTAAGGAGACACATCCTTAATATCTTAAACATGTTCGTACTTGTAATAGGGTGAAAGTTTTGCAACTAACTTAAGGATTTGATACCATTTAACACTGCTTGACAGTGAGGGCAAAGAAACTTTGATAACTGCAATACTCAATTACAACGGGCAAGATAAACTAAAATTTACGCAAATTGATCAATGGAATGAATAAACGGGCTCAAAAGAAAGAACCATCGACAATATTGATTCAATTAATAACCTCATTCTTTTCTAAGACTTGGCACTGATATATTTATATCTTGATTGAAAACTTGCAATTTTGCTATAGGATGCCTATACGGACATTCCAATCCCAAATTTGCTAATGCAGAAGCGTTGAGTTTCCGTGTAGGTTCCATAATGCTATTGCTTGTTTTCTCTTTGAAAACCTGCAACAATCACCCAATACCTGCAAGGGAAACAGCAGAGGCAAGAGGTAGATCACTGATATACTGTATATACAGAAGAAGGCAGAACAAGAAACGAATAACAGAGAACAAGCGTGCTGGCATCCAAATTTATCCGTTTAATCAACTTCCTTGGTGGTTTTCTTGTTTTCTTAAAATTTATTCTTACTGTTATGCTTGCGATTTCAGCCTAGTGGCATTTGTTCAAGTGTAAGTGGTTCATGTTTAGGTCGCTTGCATTTCCACTTATCTGATGAAAACAACTCAAAGAAGGTAACCAAGTGCTGCTAGAAGTGTAGGAAATTCTTTGATAGCTTTGATGATCAATTTTTTGGATTTATTTATTTTTGTTATTGTTTTTTGAAAATTTTTGCTATAAGAATTGTGTAGCTGCACGTGAAATGGTATCAGCAGGGCTGAGATATATGAGGTGCAGGGGTAGAAGCTTAGGTCATTGATTGTGATGAAAACCTAGACTCTGATATAATTCTCTCCCCTTCTCACCTCTCCAAACTTCTCTCCCCTTCTCACCTCTCCAAACTTTGGGAATCCACCTAAGAAAATGGGAATCCTCCCTCAAATTCAGAAAAATCTGAAATAATTTTGAAAACTTTCGGTATTTATAGACAAACACTTATTAACATCTAGGCCCTTTAATTACTAAACTATCCCTCATAAAAGTAAGGAAAAAAACTCGTAAGCAATTTTATTTATAAAAAAGACCCTTCCTAATACTATGTCACATTTTCAATCCATTTTTATTTTCTTTGAATGGAGATTATATGTTGTATAAGTTTCCTAATGTTGATATCTTTGTATGGAGCTTAATAACTTTTTGACCTTTCTGTATTTTCAAATGTATCTGAGTTTCGCTGGCATGAATATTATTTTCTAATCTCTAATCTCATTTTTTGAGGATGCCATAGGTGAAGAAATTTCTTAAGAATTTTACTCTTTGCATTATGTGGCTTGATAAATTTATTTGCATTAACTTTTTGTTTCTTAAAATTTGTATTTCAGCATAGCCATCCCCTCCAAGTAAATGTTGTTCAGGTTATCCAAAAAAAAAAATTCTTTGGATTCCTATTTTGTCTCAGATTATTTTTTATTGTAAGAGTTCAAGAAGATATTGGTATTTCCATATTGGATTTTATAGAGATATTAGTATCTTAATTCCTCGCTATCATGTTCCTATTGGACACGTGCTGATTTTATGAGGACATTTTTTTAATGAAATTATTTTCTAATGCTTTCAAATTTTAGAACACTTCAACTCGTGGAAAAGGAGCTGGGAAATCAAATTATGGAGGAGGCACATTTTATATGACAGTAAGCCCATAGAGACGATCTATTGTAAATTGTTTCCGCTCTCATTAATGGATTCATTGGAAGTATCTTGAAAATATTTTACTTTTGTTTCCTGTGATTTGAAGCTTCTATCAATCTATTTCTGGGTATGCTTCGGCTTTTCTTGATAGCATTCGCTTACATAAATCCTTTTGTGCATTATGTTCCAATCATGTAGAACCCAGGCAGCGTGCCACCTGCTTCAAATTCTAGGCTTTCACCACTTCCACCTGAACCTGCTGATTTCTACAATGACCGTACTGCAACAGTCGATATTCCTCTGGATGTCTCTATGGTAAGTGCTTATTATTATTATTATTATTATTTGCATGCAGGGCTAAATTTAATTTTTAAGTTAATTCAATGTAAGAAAATTTGTGAACAGAATTACTCTTCGGAATGGCAACGAGATTTGTTTGACACTAGGGATATCACTCAACAAAATGTGCACAATTATCTTAGAGCTGCTTGCGCAATTACCATAGATACTTCTTTAGTTGTGAGACAGCTGAGGCTATTTGGTCTGGTCGTATTTTACAAGGCGCAGGAACCAATAATCTAAGTTTAATGTTGTTCTATTTGCCTTATTTTTTATGCTTCTACTTTTGTTTGGAATATATCATGCTTATGATGTTGGTTCCTATGAGAATTGGGATGTGTTCTCTAATGTTTTTAGTATCTTGTTGAATTTGATTTATTGTTGCAAGTTATTTAGACGAGTTTACAACTTTCTTTTTTTAGCTTTGTTCGTCTGTCAATTTCCTTTTCCTACATAACCGGCTGCCATGTTCAATCATGGATTTGATACTTGCTGCTGGAGGGAAATGACAGATTTCTAAATTGAAACTTGCAGCTTTAGGTTAGATCTAAAGGATTATGAGAAGTTACTAATCTTGGGTTATAAATATGACCCTTGAGACCTTTATTTTATAATAAGTTAATAAAAATTTATGTTTCTCTATCAATCTTGTGTTAGCTGATTGGATGCAAATTCTTCTAGTGTGATGCAATACTTGATGATAACTTCTCGGAGATGGTTCTCCTTACACTGATGCGAGACTTTGAATATTCAAATCATTGACTTCTATCATTGTTATTTCATCTATATTATTTTGTGATTTGTTTGTATTTGTGGTCGAAATTTGATATTTTAATAGGTAATTTAATTGTTATAGACGTCAGTTTCCTTTTTTTATAGGTATTTTAATGGTTATATGGAATTTTATATCTGTACTGATGTTTCAGTTGGGATTAGATTTTGGCGGCTATTATATTATCATTTGCAACTGATTAATTATATTTTTTTGTTCTACATTAAAAGATATTAATCTTTGCCCAAAAATTGTAGAATTAGGAATTTTGATATTTCATGTGTTTGTTTGTGCATCTCATCCTATGTTTGCATTAGTGAACCCTAGACTCTAAGATGTCGTACACTAAGTTGATATCAAAACTTATAATTGCATTATCATGGAAACTAAAAAGTATAACTCATTAATAGGGTTAATAAAAAAGTTAATAAATGTTGTAGACTTGTAGTTTAAGAATAATCATGTAAGTTAAAGTGTTAAAATGTATGAAAGAAGAACATGACATTTTCTATTCCAATGAGTAGAAAAGATACAATATTTGTAAGGGAGACATAGCCCATAAAAAAGAAAAGTAATTAATCAAATTAATTTCAATTAATTCTACATTTAAAAAATTATTCTGCATAAGAAAATAGTGGTTGATGGAGTGCATATGGATGCTGAACAAGTGTTGGGTTGCCAATGTGGCTAATCACTTGAATGGCAACATTCACATCCAACAAAGCAGGGGCAGGTGCTACGGGTTGCCAAGGTGCTGCAACAGAATTAAATGCAGAATTTGATGTATTGCTTTCTATATTTCTACTCTCCCTCAATATGGGAATATATGATCATTCCAAACTTGGAAATAACATCATTAACTTGCAATTGGTTAAGAACTTTAAAAAGAACGTTAGCATTTTGTTATTTTATTTAAGTGTAACTAATTTGGATAATTTTTTTTTATCAATTTTCTACTTTATAAAGTGCCTATCAATTTCAATATGTTTAGTCCTATCATGTTGAACAATATTCTTAACAATGTTAATAGTGACTTAATTATCACATCTCATTATTACTGGTCCTTTTGTGAGAATTTTTAAATCTTCAAGGAGTATAAGCTACATGCCTTCACAAATTTCGTGGGCGATGGCTTTGAATTCTGCATCAACACTATTTTGAGCAAAGATTGTTTATTGCTTCTTGATGTAATTAAATTTCCCCATATGAATGAGCAAGAACTAGATGTGGATTTAGAGTTAATTTTAGATCCCACCCGGCACCCAATCAACATCAATTAAGATTTCTTTACTTGTGTTAGTCCCCTTTTTGAAGAACATTGTATTTTTTGGGTGTTTTCTTAAATATATCTTAGTATCTTATACACAACATTAAGGTATCCCATTGTGGGGTTATTCATAAACTAACAATACTCACAGGAAAATAAATAGCAAATCTAGCATAGGATAATAGATGAGTTTCCCTAGTAACCGTTGTTTCCTCCCTTTGTCAATAGGAGTCGAATATTCCTTAATCCTAAATTTATTTAAATGAACCATTAGTGGGTTTACAGGCTTGCATCCAAGCATCCCAATGTCTTTTAGTAAGTCTAAGACATTCATATTTAGGGATGAATATCCTCTTTATTGATCATGCTATTTCCATGTCTTGAAATTTTTTAATGAATCAAGATCCTTGATTTCAAATTCTTTAGCTAAGACACATTTTAGCTTGTTTCTTCATGATTTCCTATCAAAATGATATCATCAGCATAAATAATTAGGATAGAGATTTTACTTCCAGATAATTTCTTGTTGACTAAGTGTGATTAGATTTCCCCCGAATACTCATACCTTTTTATCACCATGATGAATCTATCAAAGCAAGCACTTGGTGATTGTTTTAAGCCATATAAAAATTTTATAAATCAACAGACTAGGTTCATATTACTCTTATTCTCAAACATTGAACGAATTGTTATGTAGACTCCAACATCTAAATCCCTATTTAGAAAGATATTTTCACTTCAAGTTGGTGGATTGGCTATTCTAAATGAGTAGCAAGAGAGGAAATTTACCCTGATAGAGTTCGCTTTAGTGACAGAGACAAAGGTTTCTTCAGAATCAATGTGATAGGCTTGAGTGAGAAGTATTTTCCCGCAAGTCTTCTTTGTATTGGTCAATAGTTTCTTCTGCTTTGTATTTCACATTGAAGATCCATTTGCATCTAATAGCTTTTATCTCTTTGGGAATATTTGAGAACTTCTAAGTACCATCTCTTTTAAGTGTCTGAATTTCTTCATGAACTATATTTCTCCATCGATGACAATAATGCAAAGGTAAGATGCAAAAAAGAAAAAACTACTAGGAATCCTAAGACATGCAAGAGCATATCATGCTCTGATACCAGATGATGCAGGACAGCGTAAATGAAATGCTCTTAATTAGTTCATTTGGATTTCGCACAACTTGTGATTAGAATAATTTTAGAGCAAAACTACTAGTAATTTAAAACAGTAAATCAAAACAAATAGTGGTTACATCCGCTTAGGCTAAATCACATGACAAGAGTTTTGAATACTTCCAAAATAAATAGAAAATAATACAACGACAAGTAGTAGTTTTCAAAGTAATCCCTAGTCTAACAACGAGAATTAGAAAACATAGAGGTACACTCAAATCCTACGTTTACTAAGCTTTAGCATGAGCAATGAAGAGGGGTCCGTCGTGACTGTAATCAAACCAAGAGAAGTTAGGCTAAAGAGATAAGATGCAAGGAGGAAGAGACTCCTTCGTCAAGGAGTGGTGGAGATCCTCCACTCGACGCCTTCGAAGTGTTCGTCAATAGCTTCCACCAAGGTATCTAGAATTCGCTCCAAGTAGTCTTCGACGGTGTGGTCAATCCTCAGGTTCACGTCGAAGAAGGTTGATCGTAGGATGTCGGTGAAGCCGTATTCGTCCCAAGTTATGCCGCATTCAGTTGCCGGATTCGCCATTCATGGATGATTGAAGGTAGAAACTTCTTAACACTTGATAGGGCTCTTGAGTTAAAGTGAAGAGAAAGAAGTCTCTTGCAATTGAAAGGAGGAAGATCCCAAAAGAGAAATCTGAAATAAAATTTCAGATTTAGTTTGAAGGTTGGAGAGTTATTGAGAGAGGGGAGAATTGGAGAAGAAGAAGGGCGGGTATGGGGAAGGAGGCCGACGGCAAGATGGGGAGGGAGGGTTTAATTTTGTTTCCAAAAGTAAGGGGCTCACTTTGGAAACAATTTTAAACAAAAGAGTTGGAAATTTCGACTAAGGAGGTGGAGGGGAAAAATTAGAAATATTTCTAAAGAGGTTTAGAGGGGAATTCAGAAACTAATCCCCAAATTCCCTCTATGGGGCCGGCGACATGCATGGATCAAGGAGCAAATAATGTATTGTATTAAGGTTTCTAAAATTGGATATTGATATTAGGAAATACTTATTTAAGATCCACTTGAATTATAAATTTCAAATAGCTCTAAATAAATACTTTCCTAAAATAAAAAAGTTAATTTAGGAAAGATTTTGAAATTAATTCAGATTTTGAATTTCAAAATCTATTCCAAATAATCTAGGCCCAATTAGGAAACACGAGATGAGAGGGGTTGAGGGTGGACAAAGTCGGCGGCTATGGATGTATGGCCAGCGGCAAGGGCTCGGTTGAGGGCTCTAGTCGTGGGTTTTGAGAGGGGAGGAAGGGGCTCGGGTGGGGCTTTGGCCGTGGAGGTTGGGAGGGGATGAGGTGCTCGGGTGAGATGGGAAAAACCGTCGGCTTGGGAGGAAGATGAGGAAAAAGATATAAGAATAAAACCACGAACCCGACCGTCTCCAACGTTGGTGGGTAGTGCGCAAAACTCCCTCTCCTAGGGATCTCCCTCCATCAAACACTCAAACTCTCACAAGGGCTCATGCAAGAAGAATATTTCATAATCATTCATTCATTCCTTAATTAAAAAGAATAAGCAATGGGTTATATATAGCCAAGTACAATGAACTCAAAAAGAAAAGATCAACTTGCCCTTTGGGCTCACATACGACAATTCCCCTTAAAGGTACAAACGGAACAACATAATGATGCCAAGGAAAATAGAAAAAATTTAGGATCATTATAGACTAAAATTATTAATAATTCTTTTATTAAAGAAATGTATAATAATTTTTTGAAAAAGAAATACTATTTTTTGAAAATTATATTGAATAAATAATTTAATTAAAAAATGACCAAAACACCTCTTGATTTAACACAATTAGCTCCTTAATTTAATATTAGGATAAAAAAGACTCTTTTTTATTGAGTTGAGGGGCCAAATTGGTCCTTCAAAAGAGTTGGAGACTATTTTGGTCCCTCACAAAGAGTTGAGGGACCATTTTGATTCCTCTCTCTCTCTCTCTCTCTCTCTCTATATATATATATAACTCAGTTTCGTAACTCTTGTTCAATCTGCTTACATACAAAATTTGTGTCCACTTTTGGCTGTAGATTGCAAAAATATCTTATGCTTTGCGATTACAAGCCAATTTGTGAGGATTCATTTTACTTTGCAGGAAGCATATTAGTTATGCATAGATTTGTTTGACAAACATTAAATGTTTAATTCATCAGAACCGAATTGTTTTAAGTCAGGAAAGAATGATGCAAATAAATAACATGAGCTTTGATGTTATTTTGGTTGTCTTATTTTTTTGTTTTCTATTTTATTTTGAATTCAACATGCCCACGACTTTGCTGTCTTTGAGAATGGAAGGTGTTCTCTCATATTTTGAGTTCCTTGGTGGATTTTGTTTAGTGCGAAGTTGTTTTTCTTATCTCTTTAAACCCCTCAATCATTAGTGTCCAACTTATTGTTATGTCTGGTTGAGTGATTTGAAAATTCCTGCTCTGTTTTACTTTTATCCGTTCCAGGTTTCATCGTGTAGCTGTGATTGGCGCTTTGGCATTGTAGGAGAGATGAAGTCTTGATTATACCTGGCTTTGCCTTGTGTAAAATATGTTGTCTTCCCTGTTTCTCTTAATTTTATCTTGTTGAGGTTGATTCATAGCTGTTATCGTCATTTGCCTGTGTTGGGCTATAGCTGGCTTGCTTTACGACTTGTCGACTATAGCTTTATTCGTCAGTTGGTTTCTTTTTTCTTTAAACTAGTTGCTGTATTAAAACATGGACTGGATGCTAGCTGTTTTGCGGAAAATCTAAGATTGATGAACTGAAACTTACAGTTAGGCTAAATCTTGAAGGATTGTGAGAAGTTACTCATTTTGGATGTTTTTAAGTTATAAATAAGACCTCTAGGATATGTATTTTATAATGAATTACTAAATAAAAATTTCAGTTTCTTTCTTAAATTTATTTGTTCCACTTGGATGTGAATTCTTCGTGTGTGATGCAAGTCTTATCAACAACTTTTTGATGTTTTTTTAATATAGGTGTGAGATCTAGATCTTCAAATTAGTGACTTCGATAATTTTTCTTTCAACCAAGCTGTTTTAGAACTGATATTTGGGGACGATTATTGCATGCTTGTTTTCTCTCCTTTTTTTATATTAGTTCTCCAGTTTGTTGTTGCTTAGCACTGTTATCCTATATAAATATCATAAATTAACTCCAAGATTGTCAACTTCAAAGCTACTTGCTATAACTTTTCGTGAATGAATATTTTCAGTGTATTATTATGAAGCTATTGGTTCTTTGACTTGTTCATACGTTTGTTTGGTGCAGGATTTGAAGAAGAAGGAGAAGGAGCTCCAAGCAAAAGAGGCAGAACTGGCTAGAAGGGAAAATGTATTTTGCCTAAATAAAAATAAAAATATAGTAATGCAAGGTGTTTATTTTTGTTCAAATGTTCAGATGAGAGAGAGAGACAGAGAGAGAGAGAGAGAGAGAGGACTGATAGGGAACACTTGTAGATCTCAAGTATTTCCTATCAATCTTCGGAAAACAGCAAGCTTTCTCCACAATAGTCCGCACAAAACCACAAAAATAGTAGATAATTTGTATTATTTGATGAAAGAAAAATAGAAAATAGAAAGATACAATTGATCCTCAATTCGAGAGGAGGATCGATCTTTGCCAAATCTCTAGACGCCGCTAGAGCCCAAAGAAAAACCTAATTCTAAGATATCTCAAATTTCAGCCAAATTCAAGATGTCCTAACCCTAGGAAAACAAAGTATTTAATGCATACAAATCAAAAGGAAATCCCTAAACAGTCCATACATTCAATTTCCCTCCTAATCTTCCTCAAAATTCCTTCCTAAAACGCTCCCGTGGAATCGCGGCTCACGCGGCATCCGCCAGAGGCGGAATAGCGTCGCTGTTTCGCCCATAAATCGGTCCCGCCTGGACCGGTCTAGTGGACCGGTCTAACAAAATACTAATGTTGGGGTTGAGTCGATTGCGCAAGGTGAATTTCAAAAGGCAAAGAGCACGGTGTCGCACGAAACTCGACCGACGAGTATCGGCCAAAACCCCGAATTGCCAAAATGGCCTCCATTCGTGAAATGGATAACACCGGGGCATTCGGGGCAATTGAAACAGCTTAGATTGACACCCATATTGGTCGGGGTTGTCGATAGGTCTAAAATTAAAATTTCACATGCACGGATCGAGCCGATATTGACTTGTGCAAATGATGATGATTTGGTGAGCGAATTGAGGCACAATTATTATACATAAATCTTTTTTTTTTAATATTAATTTTATGTATTTAAAATAAAAATGAGAGAAAAAATCTAAATATAAGTACATTTAACTATAAATACCTCTCAAACCTTCATCCAACTCACTCACTCAGTCGCCCCAACTGCCCCGCACAAAAAACTCACCCCCGTAACCCCCTCTCCGACCCTCTCTCTGTTCATGGACGATCTGATGCCTCCACAGGCCCAACCACCTCCAATCTCCACCGAGCCATCCCTGCCGCCGCTAGCCTACAGCCCGGCTCTTCCCGCCATCATCCCCTTGGTCGGCCTCCACATCCCTTTCTTTCCCTTTCTTCTTCTTCCCTCCTCTTCCTCTCCCTCATCTCTTCACCTTCACCTCATCTTCTTTCTCCCATCATCTTCCACAAACCCTCAAAAACCTTAACCCTTTAAAAAAATTCTTTTACCCTCTTTAAACTCAAATCCCTACATTCCATTCACAAAACCTCTTCCCTACAACTCCCTACACCCCCATCTTCCAAAATTATAACATCCCTTCACTTTCTCCAAAATTAAACAGAAAGAGAAAGCTTATTTTCTCTCTAAACAGAAAGAGAAAGCTTATTTTCTCTCTCTGACCTTCCCTCCAACAATGCTCGGGCTTACAACATAACATTAGGAAAAGTTCACAAACTAAATAAAATCACATACAACATACACAACAATTAATAATATAACATCTCAATCGTGGTCATCGATCTACAATCCCTTCTATGATAAACCTTCCATGCATTGAACTCCCCATCAGTAAATCAGTTCAAATAGAAACTCAATAATTGCTAAAAAGTATGTCAATGTTTGCCAATGTTGTGATGGGCCATGTTACACAGAACAAAACATATGGATGTCACAATACAGGAGCATGAAATTGGTTGTAAAAGCGTCATGTGTCACAAGTGAGTGGTAGGATTGTGGGCAAGTAAGAGTAGAGCTGTCAACATTTGACCCGACCCGAAAACCCGACCCGAAAACCAGACCCGAACCCGACCCAAAAATTTCGGATTCGGGTTGACCCGACGGGTTGCCGGGTCGACCCGAAAATCCGTTTAATTTAAAAAAACCTGATTTCCTGCCCGCTGCCCTCGCCCGCTACCCGCTGCCCTCGCCCGCTACCCGCGGTGCGAAATTGTTGGTGAGTGATGCGATCAAGGAACAGTTTTGTGAGTAAAGGTAGTTGGGGTGGGATTGGAGAGTAGAGGCATGGGAGCAACGAGCGTGGGGGTGGGGACACAATTAAGATTTTTAGGAGGATAGCTAGGATAAGTTTCTTCTCACTCTATATCTTGCCGAGAAAATGTTTTGCCTTATTCGTCAGAGATTCCCTTATTTAAACTAGGAGAATGAGTACAAGGAGGGTATGCACCAAAAAATTGCTGCTCTCCAAATAGCATTCTTTCCTATTTTTATGTTTCTCTATGTTTAACATGTTTTCTTCCTCTATATGTTGATGCAATTTTGAATATCCAACAACACTATCTAAGGGTTTCCCAGCTATACAATGCATAGATCAAGTTAATCTTGTTTTTTATCACATAAAATAATATATTGTAATAATATATGCTGCCTCGATATATTCCACTATAGGTTATGTTTCAGTTACTTTCTTTTCTAAACTCTAGGCTATCACCACAACTTCTTTGTATTTCTATGTGCTTGATCATATTTTTGTTAAGGACTTTCTATTTTTGCATGCACATCATAATTATGAAAGCCAATTGTGCATTTAATTTATGTTTTTAGAAGCCTTGCGTTTGCTATTATGGTGTATCAGTATTTTATTGATGCAATTTTTTTAGGTGGATTTGAACCTCGTCCTGCTTTTTTTGATAGGCTGAGGCATCTTAGCCGTTGCTTATAGATGCAAATTAGTAGTGGACGGGCTTTCTATTATGTCTATATAATAGTAAATTTTGTTTTAGCAAGAAACCTGCTTGTTGCGTTTCCGTTCATAATACAATATTAACAAATTCACAGTTATATTTGGCATTTAGAATTTGAATATATTCTGTAATCATTTTTTTATGTTTCTTTGCTGCGCAGGAGCTTAAACGTAAAGAAGAAGCTGCAGCACGAGGTAACTTTATTATTTCCTCATAAAATAGGTAGTTATGTCAGTAGCTTGTTTTCTTATTTGCATAATTAGAATATGTCCTTTTAGGCTAATAGGTCCTTCCATTTTTTCTCTATTGCAGCTGGGATTGTTATAGAGGTGAAAAACTGGCCAGCATTTTTCCCCATAATCCATCATGATATAGCCAACGAAATACCGATTCACTTACAACGGATGCAATATTTTGCATTTGCATCATTATTAGGTATTTTTTTGGGTTTATCTTGGTAACTATTTTTTTTTTCACTGAAGAAGATTCATTTCCTTATTTTTTGAAACATCCAATATATATTGCCAAAAAATTAGGTGATACATTCATTTCAACTATTTCATGCCTATATCTATGAGTCTACTATGTGTTTTACTCAAAACATTGTACTCTTTCAAATATCCTTATGTAAGAATAGTTGAAGCTTCTCAAAGTATTTCATTTAATTTCAAACAAATTTCTCTTGTCATTCTCTCTTCTATTATGCTAGAGAGAAGCTGGTCCTTGTGGGTGTCACACCCCATTTTGACCCCCTTTATAGTTAACCTATATTGTAACATATATGGAAAATCTAAACATATATCTTTTTACTGGCACCCATTTTGAACTACATCTATTAGAATCAAGTGAGTAAAAAATAATCTATTCAGACTCACCTATCTTAACTAGTTTCTGTATCTCATAATAGGAAGCATATTTAAGACATCTCAAATAAAATATAGCAAGTAAATTACAGAGCCTTATTACACTTTTTTAAATTTTATCTAGATACCCAAAAAGTCTTTGTACAGCCTCCACTTGAACTCTATGTACACCAAAAACATATGTACACGACCGTCATCTTTCAATCTAATCCTCTATTGGCTTCTCCTTTCTTGCAGTACAACCACAACAAATGAACTAGGGCTTAATAAAATATTTAAGCAATGTATAATAAATAATAATGAACATATTAACAATTAAAAACACATGTAAAATTTCATACTAAACATAAGCAATACATAACATCACTTTTTATTTTGTTTACTGTTCAACATATTTATATCAATCATATGATGACTATAGCTTTTGCACCCTACCAGCTTTCTCATTCAAGGTTGGTCTGAATTTTCAGCTTTTAGAATTAAAGCTACTCTCTCATTCAAGGTTGGGTTCGAATTCTCTTTTTTTTTTTAATTTTTTAGAGTATAGGCTTACCTCGTTAGGTCTTTCTCGTGCGGGTCTATTTCTCATGTATGACTTATTTCATCTTTCTAATATCTTTCATTTTAGCAATCATAAAATGTGTTATGGTAATCACTATTAAATGAATCAACAGACTAATACCTATATTAACTGGAATGAAATGTTACCATAAACATAACTATGTGAGATTGTAATTATACAAAACTTTACCATTTCCTATGGTATCATTTGAGTATCTCATCTTGTTTTCCAGAATAAATCAATAAACTGGTTTACCCATAGTTCTCCGAATCCTTTTCCTTTTGTAAACAACCTAAACATACATTTTTTTCATTTGCATATGCTCATAAATAAACAAAACAAGCAATATGAATATCTTACAAATTATCTCAAGTGACTCTTCTTCATTCCATTCAAAATTCTCTTTCATCTTCTAAACTTCTTTCCCTACTTCTCTTCCTTTCTTTTCTATTTAACAACAACATCCCCTAATTATCACAACAACATCTACAAATAACAACATACTAAATTTTAACAACTACTCTTACCTGATTTCTGATTTCAGTTTTCAGCTAATAATAGCTGATTGCGGTGATTCACAGCATTCTCATGCTTTAATTCAGTAATTTACAGCCCCCCATGCTGTAATTCAGTAATTTACAGCACCAAACAACAATTAATAACTGTTTTCAGCAACCCTACAACAGCCGACAATAGCAGCATTACATAATTTAAGTAAAAAACACCTAGTTTCAACCATTATTCATAATAAAACTATTAAATTCTGCTGTCCTACAATTCATTCCTACATTTGCTTGCCTGAAATTCTGCAATCAAAAACTGCAGCCCACACACGCCTCCTTCAGCCTGCAGCTCTGGGCACTGCCAGCAGCTCTCGGCTCTAGGTCACAGAATTGCATTTCTAAATATAAAATATTAAACAAGATCTCATTTTGTCCTAATTTACTTACCCTTCACTTGTTGGCTTACCTAATTTTCAGTAGTAGTATTTGCACGCCTAGTCCAAATAATCAATATACATAGGGTTGCATTTTTGCTAATAATATGAAGACATTTATACAAAAAAAGACACTTTTTTTTTATCATTTGCTAATTATACGTTGTGTCATAAACAGTATTCAATGTGTGTAAAATTTAATGCATCAGATTTGAGATAAGAATTATAATTTTTTATAAAATAAAAATATAATTATTGCTTCAATCTTAAATGATTTGCTTTTACTCTTTAATCCTTAAACTTCACCTTCCTTAGTTGAATACCTATAATTATACATATGAGATGTTTATCTTAATTATTTTTGGTTAATTTACTTATAATTTTATTATAATTTAATTAAATTACTAACATTCCTTTTTCATTCTAAGATTCAATTATACTTGATTGATACTTTTAGACTTTTAGCCTCTCAATTCTTATAACGTAACTTCAAACTTCATTTATCTTATTTAAATTACAACTTTAATATCTTGCTGTACAAACACAAAGTTCTACTTATTTAATTGATTAATTTATCTTATCAAAATTAAGCTTTGATACTTATTAAGGTAATATTAAATTCCTAATATAAAATTTTAGATTTTTATTAACTTAAATTAAAGTATAAGATTTCTATATTAAATACATTCCTCAGTTATTCTTCCCCTTTCTTCATTCTTTAAATCAATTACTACCTCCACTTGATGTGTTCTTTTCCTGAGTTCTGAAATTCTGATACGATTTCTTATAATTTGAACATAAATCTAGGCTTTTAAATATGAAACAATAAAATTCTTGATTGTCTTTATCTAATTTCATATCTAGAGAAAAGCAAAATTACTATATCCCCAATACCTTAACTCGATTCTCTGGTTGAAATTAACATATGAGCAGTCATCTAAACCTTGTTTCACTTGGCCTTGAATATCTTGTCAAATCTCACCTGCTCAATCTCTCTTCCTTGGTCTCGATCTCTTCGGTGTCTTCCAATCTCCCTCTATTTCTATGTCACTTGCTCTCACCATCCCTGTTTCTTTGTTTGGCCTACTCTCTCCTTAGATTTCGCTCTCTTCCCTTCCTCTCAGTCTTCTTTCTTTCTCTCTATCTCACATTCAATTTTTCATCCCGCTTCGCATAAGTTGCTTCTCTCGATCTTCCTCTTTGTCTCTTTCTTGCTCTCTCTATTGCTTGCTCGTGCATATCTCCTTGTCTGACCCTCTTTGTCCCTTTGTAATATGCAGAACTAGCTCATTTGAACCGACACAATTGGTTCATTGCTATTATTATTATTAATATTATTACATTATATTTTTAAAAATGGATTTTACATTAACAAAGAAGTTGATGTCTCACCGACTATCCTGCTATGACTATTATTTTTATACTACTTTGTATGATATCTCGCCAATTATCCCACTATTACTCATTGTTGCCCACTTTGATTTTTTTTTTTTTAATTATATTTATTATTTTTATCCACTTTGATTTCTTCTTTATATGTATCCTTCTAACTCAGTTTATCTTTTTGTGGGTTTCATGGCTATTTGACATTGCCGCTATGTCTTGTATTTTATTTTGAGTAATTATATTTCATCCTTTGCTATAAAAAATAATTAATAATATATATATATTTATATATTAATCATTATTTTGCAAAATTTTTGTGGTTTATTGGTTGTGGGGAGCGGAAATGCATGGGAAAATGTTTGTTAAGTACGCAATCCTTGCAAAATCCTAATATTTGACGTCCTATCACTAAATGATTGTTATGCAGGGTTGACCATGTGTCTAATTTGGAACATTATAGCAACGACAACTGCTTGGATTAAAGGGGAAGGTAACAAGGATGGCCTAGGATCTATTTTTTGATATAGCTAATTTCTTCCACTGCAAGATTTTTGAATTATATCCCATGAGGTACTGATTTTAGTTTTCCTTTCAGGTGTAAAGATCTGGTTGCTTTCCATCATCTTCTTTATCTCTGGTGTGCCTGGTGCTTATGTGTTATGGTATCGACCTCTTTATAATGCCATGAGGTATTGATATGTTGCATTATTCTTCCTAATTTTTTATTTTTTTTCCTGTCATTTTATTCACTACTTATAATGTGGAATCTGAGAGTTATTCCTAGCGTTGAAGCTGTAAAAATTCTTGCAGGACTGAGAGTGCTTTAAAGTTTGGATGGTTTTTCCTGTTTTACCTGGTAATTAATATGAATTCTGTTTATTTGTTTTAGAAAAACATGAAGAAAATGAAAGATTTTCTATTTGAATTTTTAATTAGGTCCATATTGGTTTTTGCATCTACGCCACAGTGGCTCCTCCGATATTCTTCAAGGGAGAATCTTTGACGTGAGTTCCCTTATGCTGAAAATTCATACTTTAATGATCTTCATTAAGATAATTCATCAGATTAATATGTTATTATATACTCATTTCATTGCTAATCATTTGACGTTACAGGGGAATTTTGCCAGCCATAGATTTATTGGGTGACCATATTATAGTTGGGGTGAGTATCTCTTTATCAGAAGTTACACGTCTGTTTTTTTGTGGATGGATATCTCATTCTAGAAAACATTTTCAACAAGCGTCGTATTACTATTGTTTATTTTCAATTTACACGGGATTTGTCAGATTGCCTTGATTAGTAGAATAATATCAATGACAGTAACAATTGACTGAGAACATTAAATAGTTTCATAGCTTCTTCATCATTGAGGGTTTCAGTCTTCTTCTTCACATGCTGCTTCTCCAGCCAATGCCTTCACCTTTGTTGACCAGGGTTTTGACAATTTGGGGGAGAAATTTTAAAATTATTAATCTTATTTGCATTAATTAAATCAGCTATATTAATTAAAATTTTAATTTAATTTAATAATTAATATTATTTTTAGTTTGATTAAATGAAATAGAATTTAGTTATGTTTAATTAGTTATATAAATAAGTAATTAATGCTTAATTAGTATAAATAGAATGAATAATAAATACATAATATGTATAAATTAATATAAAGATTATAAAGTATTTTATCATGATATCATTTTTTACATTCAAATATATTAAATTATACACTTGTAATTTTATGTAATCATTCAAGTGACACCACACAAATAATATAAGAAATTTGACTTCACTCGCATTTGCACTACCTAAGATACCCTCAACTTTAACTTTCAGCACTAACTTCAATTCTGAATTTCTATCTTGGAATGATTTGGGATCAATTTTCAATAGTTGCAGGACCAACTTGGAGCACTGTGAAACTTAAGAACTAGAATTTGGCACTTACTAATTGTTGGAAAGAGTTCTTTTAAGATTTGGTGTTATGATAGATATTGTAATAGTTTGGTTAATATTTTTTTTTGGTGAAAATTTGAAGATTAAAATAATATTAAATGATTACAGAAGAAGCAATTTGTTATCAATATTTAAGAAAATAGAGAATGTCAAATTGTGATAATTATTGAGGAATCTTTTGGGTCATACAATGAATCTATTGGAAAGGGATTTATGGAAGATAGACTTAGAAAAAAATTGTTAGTTTCAACTAAACAATTTTTTATGTCAGAAATATCTATTATGAAAGTGATTTTTTTTATTAAGATAATTAATGGAAAAGTATTTAGTGAAGAAATGTCTTTCAAATATCATTGGAATTAATTTGATACACATTAAAGAAGATAGTTGTCTTTAATATATTAGGAAGTTATTACAGATATGTATGATGGTACATTGACCATGAAAACAGAAGTAGATTGAACTGCCAACATTTCATTAGAAAATATGATTTTATCATCTGAAATATTCCCACCAACATGATTGTTTGAAGAATTATTGAACTTTGCGTGTGACCTAAAGCATTCTAAGAAGTTGTGGCCAAAGATAAATAAATGCATTTTTCTTGCCCATTTTTTGTTTGGGGCTAATTTTGTCCCTCAAAACTATGGAAGTATTTGATCCAATTTCCTTATAGATATTAACACTGTGGAGCTGTAATGGAATGGTATATTAGAATTCCATGCAATTGTAATGGATTACTGTATTAGATTTCCATGAATTTTGCTTTGTGAAATCATCAGGAAAACCCTTGGCTCCTACTTAACCTCAACTCTTTTATCTGCAGATCTTTTACTTCATCGGCTTTGGTTTCTTTTGCCTAGAATCGCTGCTCAGTGTCTGGGTCATTCAGGTGATATCTTCCTCCACGTCTTCTCCATCTACTGCTCTATTGTTTCATTTGTTTTACTTAAAATGTTGAGTAATTGGATGAAAGATAAGCACATAAATGTTTAGTATACATGGTGGTGTAAATGAGTTGAGCTTGCGCTTAATCTATGGTCATGTTGAGCTCATTAAATTTTGAATCTATTTGAATTTGGTTTGTATTTGAATATGTTCAAGAACATAGTTTTGTTCGATGCTCGAACTCGATCAAATAAGGCTCTAATTATATTTTGTTCTTAAACAAAAGAAGCTCTAACTTTATGTTCAAATTATTTGTGAATAATGTGTTTTTTTTTTTAACAGTCCTCTTTATTAGTTTCTTTATCCCGTGCAGCAAGTGTACATGTACTTTCGCGGCAGTGGAAAAGCCGCACAAATGAAGCGTGAGGCCGCTGCCGGCGCCTTCAGGGCAGCAATGTGATTTTGATGCTATGTAAGATGTTACATAGCCGAGAACTCTGGTCAATGCATCTTCATGTTTGTTGGCAACGGCATGCCATGTCTGTTGTGAAGTGCAGGCTTCTCATCTCTGTTCATATTTGTTTGGTCTTTTTATTCTACATTTAAGAAGCTTATTATGTTGGATGTGCTGAAAATGGCTTAAGTATCTGCAGAAATTGGTCTTTTTTTTTTTTTTTTACTTTGGGTGATCAAGTCATTAATAAGAATACACATTTTAGATATCTTGGATCTATTGTTCAGAGTGATGGTGAAATAGATGGGGATATTATCTGTAGAATTCAAGTTGGATGGTTGAAAAGGAGGAATGCATCGGGTTTGTTGTGCGATAGAAAAGCCCCCCTCAAACTTAAGGGAAAATTCTATAAGATGGTGGTGAGACTTGCAATGCTTTATGGTGCCGAATGTTGGCCATTAAAAGATAAGCATAATACTAAGTTAAGTGTTGCAGAGATGAGGATGCTTAGGTGGATGAGTGGTTTTACCTTTAGAGATATGATATGAAATGAGCATATACGTGAAAAGGTTGGAGTAGCTCTAGTGGAAGATAAGATTAAAGAGAGTCGCCTTAAATGGTTTGGTCACATTAAATGGAGGCCTTCTAATGACCTGGTTAGAAAAGTTGAGGCCTTAGATTTGACTCATGTTAAAAAAAGGTAGAGGTAGACCTTAAAAGACTTGGCAAGAAAATATTAGAAATGATCTTTCTTTATTAGATTTAAATGAGAATTGACTTTTAAGAGTACATAATGGCGAAAAAGGATTCTTGTACCGACCCCACGTAGTGGGACAAAGGCTAAATGTTGTTGTTGCTTTTAATTCTCTTAGGCTTCGTTTGGGACGGTTTTCTTATTGCTTTTTAAAACAAATTTTTAGTATAAAAATTAAAATTTGTGCGTTAAAAAGTTGCTTTAATAAACATTAAGAAAGCTGTCCCAGACGACATGTTAGATGCTTTTTGTATGAAATGAGGTTGACTTTCTCACTGCTTCTTAAAGTAATTTTTTAGTACAAATTTTTTTATTAAAAAATTGTTTTAGAAAGTAATAAAAAATTATCCCAAATGAAACCTTAATGTTTGTTTTGTATCTATTTTTTGTACTGTATTATATACCATCATCATTAGCCATTACTTATCTATAAAATATTAGGTTTGCAACTCAATTATGTTCACTTTTTTCCCTTAACTGATTGGTGCGCAATTTATAGAAGAGAAACTCTTAAGGCTCTGTTTGATTTGGTAGCATTGGAAGATAGAAAACAACATGGTTATGTTTCTTTTTGGCTTGGAGTGCAGAGGAAATGAAAATGGTAATTTGTTGAATTTCTTACCCACTTTGATCGAGTAGAAATTGAGTAAAAACATTTTTTTTTATTTGATTCATGAGAATTGAGCTTTGTTTTTTATGATGAACAAATAAATTTCTTTTGTTACTTTATGCTTAGGTTGAAGTGAGATTTGTTAATAGAAACTGGTTTTTATTGATTTTTTAAGATAAATTTAATTATCTATGAAGTACATTAAAAATCAAATTTTTAATATGAAATAATTAAGTAAATTACTAAATTTTATTTAAATTCTTTAAATTTATTCAAACCAGACCGTGCCATTTGGCTACATAATAGAAAAGAAATCTATTTTGATACAATCAATCAAGGCTTCGTTTGGGACAGTTTTTGTATTGCTTTTTAAAATAATATTTTAGTACAATTTTTAAATTAAAAAAAAATTATACTAAAAAACTATTTTAAAATAGCAAGAAGAAAGCTGTCGCAAATGAAGCTGAACTCATTTGTAGCTTCTTCAACCACTCCCAACGCAACTTCTATCGTCTGACTACATGCTCCAGTTAATATTTTCATATCTCAAGGGAATTAAAATCTGAACTGGTTAAATTAGTGGAGAAAAATATTATTTAAGTAAAAATTGGGGGCTTTTATTTAGGTGAAAAGGAAATTTAGGGTTAAAGAAATATAATATAAAAATTATAATGCATTTGAAATATTTAAAATTATTTAGATGAGTATAAAATAAATATAGATTTTTTTATTTTTTTATTTTTGATGGCAGCGAATGGCAGCAAGCAAAGACATGAAAGTGAAGAAGGAATTCGGTTGAAAATGAATGAGTTTAGAATATATCAAATTTATTTTATGATCTTTCTAGTTGTGAATTTATTTTAAGATGAATGTAATATAAATTTTAATGAATTATTTATTTTATATTTATCTCAAAATAAATTTAATGGTTTAAAATTTATCTATAAATTTATGTTGGAATATTTACACCCACATTTGTCAATGAAATTTATCAATGAAGTATTCGAAGAGCATATGAGCTCTGATGGCCTTATTGGCAACAATCTCATAGTTTAGTGGTGGATCTAAGGCAAGCCTGATGAACCCAAACTTCTCACTTCAGAAGAGCTGGCAAGCTTGCAAGCCATCAATATAAAGCTAACAATCCAATTATAATCTTCCTGCTGTAGGTGGATTGTTGTTGGTATGTTGTTCAAGGAATAGAAATAGACAATGGTTAGTTAAATAAAGTATATATTTAGGGGCTGTTTCATAGCAGGATTTAGGTCGGATTTGAGGCAGATTTGAGTGAAATCCAGCCAAACAGTCTAAAATGCAAAACCAAATCTCATGGCAAATGAAAGCCATCGTAGACGGAAAGTTCCGCCTTTTCGTGCTAAATCCCGGATTTCCGAAATCTGGTTTTTCTGGATTTGTGAAATCCGTTGGCTCGAGAGGAAGAGTCAGCTCGTTAAATATGCTCTATAGCCAAACAGTCACACATGATTTAATAGGATTTATCATGAATGCTACCAAACTGTTTTCAAGATTTATGCTCATCAAGATTTCCGAAATCTAGATTTAGTGGATTTATGAAATCCTACTTAAATCAAATCCAGTGTGCTACCAAACAACCCCTTAGAGTCTGTTTGAGCTTATTGTAACTTTTTATAAATATGATTATAAAATTATTATGAATAAAAGCAACTTTTATAAAAAAAAAAAAATATTGTAGAAAGTAGTTTGCTAGTACAAAGATTTATTAAAAGTTATGAAAAAGTAATGATCAAATAAAAATTGTGATTGCCGCTTTAGGCTTCATTTGAAATAGCTTTATTACTACTTTCTATAGCAGCTTTCTCGTACAAAAATTTCTTGAAAGCAGGGAAAAATAATAGTAAACAACTATTCCCAAAAAAATTTTAGGCTTCGTTTGTGACAGCTTTCTTATTGCTTTTTAAATCAGCTTTCTTTACAAAGCTGTTTTAAAAAGCAATAAGAAAATCATCTCAAACAAAACCTTAATCTAGGAGTCCAAACGAATATTACCATGATCTAAATATAGAAATCAGACGAATCATCATCTCATTCAATCATCATTATGTGATCTTGACATCTTTAAAACTGATGATTGCAATCAATTCAAAGCTGTATTTTCAGTAAGGCACCGTAAAGATTTGACTACTATCAATATGAAATATAGTAACCACACAGCTGCATCAGTTGGGTTGAGCTGAACAATAACCAATCGCATTGAGATCCCCAAAAACTATACTCTCTGTACTGAAGCCACGGACTTTGTACCCTTACCATTACACTCCGTGTCATACAGGCATCCGAAGACAATTAGCATCTAGGACCACGAAATCAACGGCTCTGATTCATTCACACGATTAAAAGGAAAAATAATTAAAATGGCATGAAGCTTTTAGTACCCGTTTCATTTCATATCTGGAAGATCTCAACTTATATATATATGGACAGAGAGCAAAGTTGATCTACAGAGGAGAAAAATGGCAGGGGAGCTTGTGAACAGAGGAAGGAGTCAAAGGCTTTCTAGCCGTTTGATCCCCAAGAGAGGGAAGGTGAAGGTGATGATTGCCGTTGGATTGGTGCACACTTGTGCTGCTCTCTTCTCTCGGGCCGGCCCGCCCGTTGCTTTTCGGGCGGCCCAGTGGTGGAGGAGGCTGCAGAATCAACGGCTGTGAGGCTCCAAATGATCATGGGATGGGTCTCTCCACGATGCAGGATTGTTTTATTTCCTTTTTTATTTTTCATGTTGCTCATGAAGTTGGATAATCTTAGTAGTTCTTGTTAGGTGAAGAGGAATCACTGAAAAGGAAACTAAAAAAAAAATCATACGGGAGATCCCATACAGTTGGGATAATAAGACATGATGATGATGATGATGATGTCATGAGGTTTTGATGTAGAGTTTGATCTGAAAGATATCAAAGCATAAATGGAGAGACTTTCATTTTTCATGCTTTTGAGTAAGTTATATACATTCTGCTTAGACCTTAGTTGCAGAGATGGAGTGTCAGCTAGCAGTTTGAAGCTTAAAAAAATATAATTATTCTTCATAATACAGAAATTTTCAAACTTGATGACATCAATTTTCAAGAATTGTCACTTTTACATGTCATTAATTGTTGTTGTATTAGGAAGGTGAAACAAAGGAGTTTAAGTTAATTAATTCAACATATTAACAATTTTATTAAAACAAAAATTTAACCCTACATTAAGCATAAATGTGAACAACCTGATTATATATATATAATATAGAGGACTTTTGAGCCAATTAAAAAAAACTCACATACATCACATTTGAATGCTTCAACTCCAAGACATCTTGGTTGGTAGCTGAAGCTCTCAATCAATAGACCGATCAAGATGAGCTACATAAGAGAAAACATATATTGAGAATAGTTAGGAAAGTCAACGGTGAACAAGAACTCTCTCTCTCTCTCTTTCTTTAATATGTTGAAAGCTTGGATTCTTCACTGCTTGAGACATGTTAGATGGAGTTTTTAAGAAATAATCAACACTCAAAGTTGCTTAAATTTTGTCTAAATTTTGATTTAAATTTAGTTGATTCTTAGATCCACTTTCGATTCATCCCAATTTTGGCTCTGTTTGGCTTTTTCAGCTTAATGATTAAAAAAGAAACTGCTATCAAATTTGCTCAATTTTTAGAGAAATTATTCTGCGCAGATACTAGACCGTTCAGAGGTGAATCAGAACGCATCATGTAATCCGATACACAGCCGTGGTACACTGCAAACAGATGATGTGGTGAGTTTTGATTCACCTCCTGACGGCGTCCGTATCCGCACAAAATAATTTCACAAATTTTTAACACAAAACATTTATGATATTTTGTGTTTGAGAAAAACTAGTATGAAGCTGAGAAGAAAAAGAGT